TTGTTTCCTTAAGGTTTCAAGCTCCTCTGGCTCTTCCTGTCCCCCTGATAGATCCCTGAGCCTTATAGAGAGGGCTGTAATAGGTATACCCATCACACTCTACTCCAGGGCCCTAAAACAAAATTGAAGACTCCAACATGAGTACCTATAACTTCAGCTGCTTGATACTTGACAAAGATACCAAAAAGCATATTCTGGAGACAATAAAGCATCTTCAACAAACGATGCTGGGAAAACTGGATGCAGAAGAATGCAATTAGACCTGTATGAATGAAATGAAATTAGACCTGCATCTATCACTTTCCACAAAACTAACTTCAGATGGATCAAAGACCTAAACATGAAACCCAACACACTGGAACTGCTAGGAGAAAACATAGGCAGTACTGTGCGTGATACAGCTGTAAGAAGTTAATTCCTGAAAAATGACTGTTTATGCAAGAACAGAGGTCAACAACTGAGAAGCTAGACCTAATGGAGCTAAAAGGCTTCCGCACAGCTGAAGAACTAACCAAGTGGGTAAAGAGGCAGCCTACAGACTGTGACAAAATCTTTGCCTGATGCACATCTGACAGAGGGTTACTATCCAGAATATATAAAGAACTCATAAAAGAATAAGCCAAAACAACAAATGGCTCATTTCAAAAAATGGGGTCGGGACTTGGACGGAAGTTCTCTAGAGATGAAAAAAGTGGCTAAGCTATATCTCAAAAAGTTTTCATCAACACTATCAATTAGGAAAATGAAAATCAAGGCAACTTTGAGATCCTATCTTACGCTAGTCAGAATAATGGCAAAGGTCAACGGAATGGTGAACAACAGATGGTAGAGGACTCGCCGGGGATAGGAAACCCTCTTTCACTGTTGCAGACTGGTACAGCCAATATGGAAATCAGTATGGAAAAATTCTCCAAAAGCTAAAAGTGAATCTTTCACATGACCCAGCTGCACCACCCCTTGGTATTTGCCCAAAGAACTCGGTATCCTACTCCAGAGACGTTTACTCAGTCCTGTTCACTGCTGCTCTGGTCACAATCCCTATGAGATGAAAACAACCTAAATGTTCTACAAGCAACGAATTCATAGTGAGAATTTGGTACTATCCAAAAGAAAGGCACAATGGAATAACAGACTTTTCAGGTAAATGGATGTAACTTGAAATAGCACATTGAGTGAAGCAGTCTAGACACGGAATGACAAATGTTGCATGGTCTCGCTCACTGGAGACTCCTGGCTTCAAATCTTCAGATATGAACACATACCCTGTAGTAACTACAGAAGTCAGGGAAGTAAAACGCAATCATTGCCTGGATAGGGTGGGGAGAGCGATAGAGAAAGAAATAGCAGGAGATCACCAAAATGGGAAAGGGGCAGCTCTTTAGGGAAGCCAAGGCAGATAAATACAGAAGATGTTAAAAGATGGGTAACAGGGAATTAAAGGGATACAAGTGATCTCACAGGGAACAAGAAAATAAGGGGCTCTTTAGGGAGTGAAAAGAAAGGCAAATACAGAAGAAAGAGGGAATAGATGAAGCAACAATATTCATGGCCGAAAAAGCTACTAGGAAATCATACTATCAATTATTTACTTCAAAAAATAAGCAAACAAACCAACCCCCTCTAATACATGTACATCTATGCATAAATATACATCTGTAGTTTTAATGAACTTTTCACACCTGGGCTGATGATACTCCTTCCATGAGTCAAAGGTCATCCAACCAAAGCCCTACACCAGATCTTAGAAGCCCTCTTTTTAAGTTTCTGGTCAGGGCTGTCCAAAAGACTCCCCAAACATACAACATATTGTAGCTGCCCTTGGTTACATAGGAGAGATGAAAGGTAAGTCCCTATTCCTAAAGACACCGTGTACTTCAGAAACAGGATTTAGAGCCACCTGGGTCAAGCCTTCCCTGAAAACTAGTATTCATGGTACCAGAAGGCAACATCCATGCTTCCAGAGAAAGTAGGCAACCTACAGTCTTGTCAAGCTCTGATACCTATGAACCTGGATGTCACAACAATCCTATGAGTGCAGAAATGGCATGCACACACACCTTGGCAGTAACCAACAATTCCGTAATTGGATGTAAGAACCTACTCAGTAAAAGTAATGCCATGCGTGGCCCTGGAAACCTAGCTAAATGCTCAGTGCTAGTAAACTCATAGTTTCTAGAGGAGAATCTACAGCCTCTAATTTACTAAAACAGCATAGCCCTCACCCCTTCATCAAGAAACTTCTCTTTACAGCACGTGGGGGAACCACTACAGGAAACCGCAACCAATCAAGATGCAAAATATGAGCCCGAGTCATAATGGATAAATCCACGAAACACCGGCACATCTAAGGGTCAGAGAACATTGCAGAAGAGAGGGCAAACACACATGAAGAGTCAGACGATCAGAGAATTTTCTGTGAGACTGTGCCTCCTCGTAACATGAGGAGCTGCACCTGTAGGGACTTATGAACGTGACTGCCCAAATGTGAGCTGAACAATGACAACACCAATGGCATGTCAGGCTGAGCGGGGAAAGCCCTGAGAGGCATCAACTCCACACAGACTACAGGCCACTGAGTAATGCCTAGAGCAAAAGATGTCGTCCTCCCCAAGGAAATGCACACCGATTGGTTGACCAGTGCCTAACAGTCAGTCCTGAAAACATACATGAAAGTAATGTACGGGCTGAGTAGGTTATATATAGGAATGTATATGTATACACACATTATATATATATATATATATGTATATATGTGTGTGTGTGTACATATATATAACACTTAATGAAAAAAGAGGGCATGAATTTAAAAGAAAGAGGGGGGGAAAGGTCTATGGAAGATTTTGGAGGGACTAGAGTAAAGGATGAAATATTGTAATTATGTTATAATCTCAAAAAAGAGAATGTGTGTGTGTGCGTGCAATTTTTCAACTATAAATAATAAAGATATATGATTTACAAGACAATAGTTGCAAATTAAACCAGTCTTATACAAATATTTTCCTTCGTTTGTAGTTACTGTATTTCATATAGATTCAGTAAACAGTCTATGCATACGTGGCATTAAAGCAGAAGGTGACAGAGGATAGTCATAGGAGGGAAGGGGGAGAGTGGGGAGGGGGGGGGAAGGTAGACAATATACCTGATGTGTAAGGTATTTTTGCACACAAATAATATCAGTAAGGGTAATTCTGACTCACCCAAGCAGAGACTGACCCTTTGGCACAGTCTTTGGGATTAGATGTGCCACTCACTGTTTTGTCTATGACCATGACTATCGTATGTGCAGAAGTATGGCGCCCCTTATTTCTGTTCCTCTTATTGGTGTGCTTGGAGCTTCCAGACTTACAGTCTCTGAAGGAGAAGCATTGGGTTGCTTTGGTGGGAATACGGAGCTGCTACTGCTGCTGACTACTGGCAGCCCTCTGGACGCATCCCGCCTCTCCCTTGCCAGCATCCTTGGATCCTCTCCCTACACATCTCTGTCCATTCTGCATCAGACTATGCCATGCTCACACAAAGTCATTCTCAGTCCCCTCTGTGATAGTTTCAGCTTTTGAGTCACAGGCGATTCCATTATTCCATTTCTTTGTTTCCTCTGATTGTTTTGTCTTACGCAATTTTTTTTCATACTCTGGAGCTATGACAAGAAGACAAGACTCTTTTTTTTTTCTGGTTTTTTGAGACAGGGTTTCTCTGTATTGTTTTGGGCTGTCCTGGAACTCGATCTGTAGACCAGGCTGGCCTCAAACTCACAGAGATCCGCCTGCCTCTGTCTCCCAAGTCCTGGGGTTAAAGGCATGCGCCATCAATGCCCTGCTATGCAATTTTTTTTATTGACAGCTAGATAATTCATAGGACAACTGCACAGAGGTAAATAGCTCTTATTCTAGGAAGGGTTTTAGCCTCGTTTTTTTTTGTTTTTTGTTTTTTGTTTTTGTTTTTGTTTTTGTTTTTTTTTTTTGCTGGGGCTTTGACTCTTAACTTGGGTCATCTAATTAGGCACTAAGCTGCCTGGGGCGTGAGTTGTTTTTGTAGTTTATGTCCATGGATGAAACTGAGAGATGCTACGATTTGAATGTTTCTTCAAAACCCCATGTCCAAATTCCTTTCCGGCAGGGATGACACAGGGAGGTGAGACTAAGATGTGTTCATCTGGGAGAGCTGTCCCATTGTGACTGAACGATTGCTTCTACCCTGTGGTGAGTCTCATGGGGGCAGGCTGTTTCTCCTTCTTGCTCCCTGTTCCCCCTTTGCCTTGGCCATGCAATACCCTTGTGCCTAGTAAATTATGCCGCATATGGCCCTCACTACATGTTGATCTTGGGTTATCAGCCTTCAAAGTTTTGAGGAATCCATTTTTCATTGTTATAAATTACCTAGCCTGTGGCAGCCTGTTATAGTAACAGAAAATGGACCAAGCCAATCTCCAAATTCATCCAGGATATGTAACAGAGGTTTGGGGCTAGGCAGATAAACTGCCCCAACCCCCTACCTCCTCCTGAGTCCTTCGTCAAAAGCACCTTCTGTGCTGGGCCACAACGAGGGCCTGTCTTTTTCCAAGTTGCTTATTAGAGATGCATATTTTCCTGATTTGGAGAAGGGGTTGTCAGTCGTTCTGTTGAAAGACAATGGTCTATTCACGTGCATTCTTACTACACTGCAAGTGGCTTCTTTAACTTCTTCCCCAGTTGCTGGTACATAACTATTCTAAGCCTTTAGTGCATGTGCATTTGGAGACACTCCATTCTCTGTTTCCTGCGTCCTTGTCTGTGGCTCAGTCCTTACCACGGTTCCTCTCTCTAAAATTCATTGACAGTTTCTTCCTCCGACACCCGGTTACATATTCTGGAAAGTGATCTGCAATGCTCCGTGTGTGTGTGTGTGTGTGTGTGTGTGTGTGTGTGTGTGTGTGTGTGTGTGTGTGTATGCCTTGGCTGTTGCTTTTCACGCAATCTGATGCACCACCCTGATGTCTCCAAATGTTTCTTCTCTTATTTCCCGAGCTTGGCGGCCTTGTGAATGACCAGTTTCAGCAAACGTGCGTTTACACTTTAAACAAGCATCTATCTGGCATCCGTGTCTGTTCGTTTTCCTCCGAATCATGTTCTGCCTCTATAAAGCAAAAAAAGGTGGAGCATCAGAGTACCTAGTGTCCACTCGCAGATCATTCCTACCCTGGTCCTCTTTGCTTCCTGTGATCCAAGAATTCCTCTCTGAGCCGGTCACTGGACTTCCTCGGCGTGATCTGAGCAAAAGGAGCCAACCCAAGCTTCCGTCATTTAGGGCTCTGTCTCTTTCAGCAAGGAGTTAACAACTCGCAGGAGATCGGAGGAGCAGAGTAGGGCTCCACATTGGTTGATTGGCAGTTTGCTTCATCAACGACCCGGCCCCCAAGCCATTTGGGAAAATTCTCCGTGGAGCCACAAGATGGCGCCATGAGATGGAGCCATTACCTTAAGGGAAGGACCAGGCCATTTTGGATCTCAGATGGTGCTGGAATGAGACGGAGCCGAGAGGGAGGAAGACTGGCTAGATCGTGCAATTTCACTTTATTCTCTGTGTGAGGGAGAACAATTGGGAGAGATTGGGAGTGGAGAGGTGTGAAAATAACTAGTTAAGAGACTAGTTAGGGAGGTAATGCAGAAACCTAGACCAGGTAAGAAATGTCTATTCTCATCCGCTCAGTGTGCAAGCTAAATACAACCAGAGGAAAGAGAAGCTTTACACCCTTCATCCACTCTTGAGAAAGCACGGCTATTTCCGCATGTCTGCAGGAGTTTCCTCCTACCTTCTTCTTATGTTGTTGCAATTAGTGTCGAACAGCAGAGAAAGGCGTAAACACACATATTTATGGAAGCACCGCTCTTAGTGCCTCCACCGGACATTTCCGTACACGGCAAATTGAAAGCAGGTCTTTTGTTTTAACGAGTGACCCGTTTAATATGTAGTATATCACTCCGTGCAAAGGCTCATCACACTTTTCCTAGATGGGAACACAGAGTAAGTTCTGCAAGGATTACGAAACTGTCACCCAGAGCCTCCTCCTCCACTGGAACACAACAACATAAAAGTCATGAAAATTGATATGATTTAATAGTCTCCCTGTACAAAAAGACATACGATCTCTTCTTTCTCTTCGTTCCTTTCTTATACCACCCAACAAAAAATTTTTTGTGGTTTTATTCGTCAATGTCCTTGAACTTTCAGAATGCCTACATTTACGCCACAGTATGAAGATTATTCTCTTGTTTTTTGATTCAAGACAGATGCTTGCTCTGTAGCTCAAGCTGCCTTGACCTCACAGCAATCCTCCTGCCCCAGCCTCCGCAGTTCAGAGATTGGAGGTGTAGGTCATAGATGCATTACCTTGACAGAACCGTGCTTCCCTTAGAACATGCACTAATGAAGTGTCTAGAGACGCTTATACTCGTAAGCTGATTCATGGAAATCCCAGTGTTCATTGCAGCTTATTCTTTGGGGGCTTTCTATAAATATGACTACGGCATTTAAAACATGCAACTGCAGTACGTAAAAACACATTCTCACTGGAAAGGAGTGTACCGCTTTTCATTCTTCCCTTTCTTGCCTGACCATTTTGGAGATAACATTAACTTCAATACCAAAGCAGGTAGCTGCATCTTTAATAGGGACACATAAAAAGGGAACCTGAATATGCTTCTATATTAAATGCAAATTTTCCATTAATTATGAGTAGTACAAACAATACACATGGAAGAAGATTGTTTCCAATACTGATTCTTTTTTGTTGTTGTTGTTTTTGTTTTTTGTTTTTTCAAGACAGGGTCTCTCTGCATTGTTTTGGAGCCTGTCCTGGAACTAGCTCTGTAGACCAGGCTGGCCTCAAACTCACAAAGATCTGCCTGCCTCTGCCTCCCGAGTGCTGGGATTAAAGACGTGCTCCACCAACACCTGGCTCCATACTGATTCTTAAAAACAATAAATACAAATTTCAGCCATATGGTACCCATGCAAGAATGACTCTGGCACAAAGATTCACTGATTGCCAACACGGATCTCCTTTGACCAATATAAACATTACCATTTGATCATCACATGATGTATATATTCTAAAACATCACACTGTACCCCATAAGTATGTAGCGTTATATGTCCATTGAAAATAAAGCAACACTTTCCAAATGGCAATTTCAATGTTAAAACAAAAACTGTGAAAATAAACAAGGAATTACTGGGGATGTGGGAGGAGAAAATAAGAGAGGAGGAAGATGATCAGAAATTAATCAAATGTATGAAAATGTAATGTAATTCATTACTTCAGTCAATGAATATGTGTCAGTAAAGAGGAAAAAGTGTCCACATCAAACACAAACTAACTCAGCAGTAACGTTAAAGCCACAAACACGGATACCTCTGACACAGTTAGCCACAGAAGCTGATATCTATAGTAGATGGATATTTGAAAAAGAAAAACCATCTAACTGACTGTAAAAAATTATTTGAAATTTACTTTCATAAAGCAGTGTGAGTTAAAAAATACAAGCAAAGTGAGCATTTACAAAAATTGGGAGAAGAGATTAATATGTAATAATACTCATAGGACCTCAATACATTCTCCATGGCCATCAACAGCAGCAGATAGATTGGAAAGGACTACAGAAAATTAAATATGGAGATTAGAAAAAAAATGATTTAGAACAAGACGTGGAATGCAGGACACACTCACTGCAGAGCCATACTGGAGATCCGGTGACTTGACGTTACTCTTTCAGACCGAATTCATCTCAGTCAGTTTCTAAGAAAGACACCAGGTACATTTCCCCCCAACATGCAATTCATTTCAAAATCATTGGCAAAGGACACACCAAAATTTCAATCTGATGAGAAATTAACCCTATGTATCAAAGAAGAAATTTCAGAAAATGTACATATATAACTTTGGGCATGCTGCTGAAATTATTAGAAAATGTATAGCCACAAATTTATATTGGAGAAAAGGTGACTAAAAAAAGATGGACTCAATCTAATCTGCGTGGAGTCAGACCAAAGGTATTTTTCAAAGGAGCCAAGAACAAGAAATAAATACAACAGCAAATACTGGGTAAATATAACCAAAACATAAAAGTAAAAGCAACAGAGGCAAAAAGTTGGCTCTTTGAGAGACAAAAGCGAGGCCATTTCTGGCAAGATTCTGACAAGGAAGGCTAAGACAAAATAAACACGCACAGCAATCTTCTGCATGAAGGGCCAACTCTACTGCGGGGCTTGCAGAGCCTCCGTGTGGGAACTCTGCCCTAGTAGTCCACCAACATCGAGATGGAATCAACTTTTTGAAAACAAAAGCAACCGTCGGGAAAGCAGCAGACACGAAACCCTAAGTTTTCCTACCCACTAACCCCACTTAAAAAGCAGCAGTGAGCCAAGCCTAGTAGCTGTCTGAAAATACACCACCAACAACCCCCCCCCCCGACGGGAAAACCTGGGAAGGCTGTAGGTTACAGGAAGTGTAATTTAATCAATGAGGACAGGATCCTGCAAAGACCTAGGAAGCATTTCCTTTCCAAGGGCTACTACAGGTCCACCCCAGGGATGAAGATTCCCCCAGGCTTGAGGAAGCACTGGGGTGCAGGGCTGCAAGCCCTGGAACAGAGTTGGACACCAGCATTAGTCCCCGGGGGCGGGGGGGGAGGGCAGAAGGACAAGCTCTTCGGTCATGTGCATCTGAACTTCAGCTCTATGACAAAAAGGGGGCCTGGGGAAGATTTGCGTGAACTGAACTGCAGCATCCAAGAAAGCACGTACCCACCTGGAGAAACCCAGCAAGGAAGAAAAAAGCCTTGCAGCCCAGCGTTGGTGGCGCACGCCTTTAATCGCAGCCCTGGGGAGGCAGAGGTAAGCAGATCTCTGTGAGTTCGAGGCCAGCCTGGTCTACCGAGCGAGTTCCAGAGAGAAAGAAGCATAGGAAAAGATAACTACAAACTGTTGCGCCCAAGTTGCAAAGTCCCCAGAGACCACCAGAACGACAGACCCACTAAACCGCAAAAGCAAGGTTTAATTATTGCTCATCCACCCCGTCTAGAAAGCTGACACAGCAGCCCCCAGAGGGAGTGAAGTTCCCTGTCTACTGTTAGGTTTTATAGACAAAAGTTACAGGATTACATCAGTAGGTACAGGTTGGTTTCTGATGGGTTGACATTTGGGAACACTCAGGAGAATTTCTCAAAGTCATATTTTGGCATGAAATACCATTATTCTAGCTGGTCAGTGCTGAGAGGGAACGTTCTCTGGTTTCTATGGCATTGTCTTGTTACTTGCAGGTGGCCTGTTGCACGTAGATACCGATAGTTTTTCAGAAATATATCCTGGAGACTACAGGGGAGGTTTTGGTCTCCCTTGGAGTTTCTTTTGTGGCCAAACAGTTCCCAGGAACCCAGCATCTAGGAAGCTGGGCGGGGTGGTGGTCTGGAGTTTGTGTTCAGTTTTGGCCCTAGGCTCCGGGAGGCCAGACGATCTGGAGTTTCCTTGTGTCAGAGACCTACGCGTCTTTTCTGTAGCCTGTCACAGCTGCTAAAGCAGGGGGCTGAGTGAGGGTCTGGTCCCTTTATTTCTAAATTATTAGACGTGAACTACTTGTAGGGGATGCACTCCTCGAATGTCCAATGAAGACCAAGGAAACATTCACACAGCTCACGAATTCCATTCCTGTTGTGGAAAACAAAAAGCACTGCAGACCCCAAACCAGTCGACCTCGAAGGCTAGATGCTGTGTGACTCCATCCCTGCGACACCGTCAAAAGGCAGATTTTTGGAGACCCCCCACACCGAGAGGAGCAGCCACCAAGGAATGGGGGGTGGGGGAGGGGAATGACTGAGCCACAGGAAACTTTCAGACCAGTGAGACTGCTTTGCATATGGTTTCAGCAGATGCACAGGTTGTTCTGGGCCAGCTGACCTGTTGTCGCGCCTGAAGAGGGGAATGAGGACTGAGAAAGAAAGAGACGAAAGACAGAAGATAGAGCGGGAGGCCTCTCAGTGACTACTGTAGCAGCCTTGAATTTATTTCTCATAGCCCAAAGCAAAAAGGGGAGGGCAAAAGTCTTCCTTTCCGTGGTTCAAGGAACAAGCAAGTATAACCACCTCCTTAATTCTCAAAACGTCTAGCAACCGTACGGTTGGCCAGACATTCCTGTTAACTTGACCTTGAGGAGCCAGAACAAGCTTGAACTCTATGACCTTAAGTCAAGATGGAATGGAGTCACTCTGGGGCTCCCACAGTAGCTGACATTTAACAGTCATCAGAACACCTAACTCATATCAGCTGCTAGCAACAGGGAAGCTATTACTGTGAGAACCAGGGCAGGTGATTTGCCTGCGCGTTTTTCCTCGCGGCTCTTAAAAACACATCATTACTTTTAAAGATTGGAGGAGTTGGAATTGTGGTACCAGGGCATGCACACAGTGTAATAAAAAGTAGCAAATGGGAAAATGAAGAGCGTTTGGTATAAAAGGTTACCTTCCTCCAGGAATAAAGTAGTTATTTGTAACAGCGCACCAATTAAAGTAAAACTGTTCGGCACAGAAAGTTCCAGTTCCCCATGTGAATAGAAACTGACTCTGCACACATTAACACATCGTGCTCAGGAAAAACCAGAATAAAAACCAAAACAGGAGTTGAGACATAGACTGTGGCCTGGAGACACAGCCCAGTGCTCCTCTTCCAGAGGAGCAACGTTCTGCTCCCAGAATTCACCCACATGGCTCACAGCCACCTGTATCTCCAGCTCCAGGGGATCTGATATCCCCTTCCGGCCTCACAGGCACCCCATACACACATGTGGCACATATACACCGACACATGAATAAAAATCTTTTTTTTTAACTTTTTAAATTTAATTAGAAACATACGTGCTTAACATGTCAATGCCAGCTCCCTCTCCCACCCCTCCTCCCTTGTTCCTCCACCAGACCCACTTCCAGCACCCCACCCAATCCCCACTCATTCCCCAGGGAGGGTGAAGCCCTCCCTGGGGATCTCCAGAGTCTGTCACTTCATCCAGGGCAGGACCTAGGCCCTCCCCGATGTGTCCAGGCTGAGAGAGCATCCCTCCATGTGGAATGGGCTCCCAAAGATCATTCATACACCATGGTAAACACTGATCTACTACCCAAGGTCACAGTGATTTCTGTGGCCTCCTAACTGACACTACGTTCATGGAGTCTGGATCAGTCCCCTGTCCACAAGACCTAGCAACTCCACTCTTAGGCATATACCCAAAGGACATCCATTCACACAACAAGGATGTCTGTTCCACTATGTTCATTGCAGCATTATATATAGTAGCTAGATCCTGGAAGCAACCTAGATGCCCCACAACTGAAGAGTGGATAGAGAAAATAAAAATTTTTTAAAAGATATTTTATTTAATTTTAGAAGTAACAGGAATAGAAATATGTTAACCTCAAAACTCTACAGCTAGAGAATACACACACACACACACACACACACACACACATATATCAAAATCAAAGAAATAACATATCATACAAGAAAGCTATAAAGGAATTACACAAACAAATAAAATAAAGTAGTATCTTTCTAGTGTGGCCTGTACGCTGTCCATTTAAAGTGTATGGTATTAAAGGTCAGATCGAAAATTGTGCTATTAAATATAACTTAGGAACCAACCACATGAAACAGGAGCAAAGTAAATGCCAGAACAAAGCTTAATTATTAAATTAGCCTTAGAAGCATTAATTAGCACTAGTGAAATAAGTTAATGACTTGCGATATAAAACGTGACCCTTGGTTTTCATTGGCATTGTCATTAAACTGAAGTGAATTTTTCATTCACGTGTTTTCTTTAGTCTTTGAGTCTTTTACCACTTTATTCTTCTGTGGGCCTGCCACCAGCTTCCAAATAAACCCCACATGGAGTCTTACTCTTTCTTACAAACATTCAGCCTTAGCTTGGCTTGATTTTTGCCAGATTTTTCTTTTCTTTCTTTCTCTTTCTTTTCTTTTCTCTTTTTCTTTTTTTCTTTTTTCTTTTTTTCTTTTTTTTTTTTTTTTTTTTTTGGTTTTTCGAGACAGGGTTTTCTCTGTATTGTTTTGGAGGCTGTCCTGGAACTCACTCGGTAGACCAGGCTGGCCTCGAACTCACAGGCCTGCCTCTGCCTCCCGAGTGCTGGGATTAAAGGTGAAGGTGTGCGCCACCAAACACCGGGCTTGCCAGCTTTTCATAACTTAGATTATTTTATCTATCTTTTGCCTCTTGGCTTTTATCTTCTCTTACTTCTGTTATCTTACTTACTTTCACTCTTAGTCCGTGGCTGACCCCTGAAGTCCTCTCTCTTCCTTCCTCTCTCTCTTGTTCCTTGGTCGTCTCCCTCCAAGATTTCTCCTCCTATCTATTCTCTCTCTTCCTGCCAGCCCTGCCTATCTTTCTTTCTCCTGCCTCAATACTGGCCATACAGTCTTTTTGTTTTTCTTTAATTAGACCGTCAGGTGTTTTAGACAGGCCAAGAACCACAGCTTCACAGAGTTACACAAATGCAACATAAAAGAATGCGGCAACACGTCCTTGAGCCATTAAAGCAAATGTTCCACAGCTTCAGCAAACATAACACACCTTAAAACAATGCTCCACAACAATTCACAAGAAAACAAATGCCTTCGAACCACGTGCCAAAGGGCTAAGGATGGAGCCTTATCTAGAGAAACCTGGGTAAAAAGGATCGGGGTGTGGAATATCCAGGGGAGGTAAGTAGCACGGAGAAGTGATAAACGGCCCCACGGGATACGCACCGCGTGAGAGCTGCCACCACTGTCGCACCCCACTGCTCTGGTGCTGCCGCTGCTGAGTGCTAAATTTCCCTGAAAAATGGCCTGTCCGGATGTTCCAGTGTGCACACTGACCTGCGAATTAGTTCTGACACGCGCACTGAATGGCATTCCTGGGAAATAGGGCACGGCCTGAGGCGCTCTCATCCTCTCTGTCCACAAAGCTCCCACCCCCAAGTTGTGGTCTAGTTGGCTCATTCATGAAAATGGGAGACAGTCCCTATCTCCAGGGGGCGGGGTTTGTGGATGAACGCTGTCCAGTCCTGATACCTGTTTGGTGGCATTCCCAGGCAGCTGGTACTTGCTCGCATAGCGGAGTCGGTTGGTCCAGCTCTCCCTTGAATCCAACCACGCTTATCTTCCCCAGGCCACATAGAGGGTGAGCCCGTGCAGTCACTGCTTACTCCAGGTCTGCCCCCAAGCTGCAACAGCCCCACACACCTAGCTGCTGGCCAGAGTCAGCGCGCTGATTCCAGGCCTGTGTCCACTCTCTCATG